CTACAGTTTTAGTTTGCTTTTTAATAAAAGGGATACTTTTTAGCTGATATCATTTCAGGTATTAGGTATCTATTAGTCACTAAACAAATATTTATTGAGCATCTACTCTGTGAAAGGTACTGAAAAAGGCAGAAGTGAATGACAGGCCTCCTGCCTTCTAACAGATTAAAACAGGACTTAGACATGTATACAAATTACAATCAAACAAGTAAAACTCAAATAAAAGACAGGATTCCATGTGGTTCAGCATATAATTGTATCCTAAGAAACAGTATAGCAACTAAACAATTTTAAAAGTTTGAATATTTAAGGATTTACTATAGTCCTTTGAAAAACTTCAAGGGGAAGCCAATTTGTAATGCCCAGCAACATTTAAGGTCAGCTTTTCATATTACTTTCATGTTCAATATCTCTTACACACTACAGCATCCCAGAAAACTCTAATCACTCCTCATTCTCAACTAAAAAATTCACTCTGGAATATATCCGCTGTAAGTTTTTCCCCTTTTTTCCATTTTCATCCTCTATCACTTGTTTTCTTCTTTGTAAGAAGCTCTTGCTTTCCTTTCCAATGTTATTTAATTGAACTAGCATTGTTCCTTGCAATTTTTCAGCACTTTCTGCCTATTACAACTGTTCTGCACAGTAAAAGCTCAGGAACTGATTTGGCATACTAAGAATCTCCACAGAAGTTGCTGGATTTGGAGAGACCCGTACATCCAAAAAGATGATTATCTTTAGAGGGCAGGGAGAAGGGGAAAGCTGCCAACACTAACTTGATGTCTTTTATTCCATCACACATGAGAGAAAGTGAAGTGCTATAAGAAAGATAGAGATAAAATAGTAGCAGAGAGTAAGGACTTATAAAATCAGGGGTGTTTGAGATTTTTTTAAAGATTTTTATTTATTTATTAGAGAGAGAGAAAGAGCGCACACAAGCAGGGGGAGTGGCAGGCAGATGGAGAGAGAGAAACAGGTTCTCCACGGAGCGGGGAGCCCGACGTGGGGCTTGACCCCAGGCCCCTAGGATCATGACCTGAGCCCAAGGCAGATGCTTAATGGACTGAGCCACCTAGGCACCCATGAGATAGTTCTTGAGGATCTGAACAGGTGGTGATAGTGGAGGCCTTCCCAGGCAGATGGAACGGTGTTCAAGGGCAAGGAGGCAGTAAAACATGGGCTATGCACAGGGAAAAACAGGGAGGTCCATTTGGTTGGAATCTGAGCTTATCAAGCCTTTTTACTGAATGTGAAACTAACAATAACTAGATATATTTCTGGAGCATGAGACTTTAAGAGACTAAGACACTGACAAATTCTTAGAAAACCAGTTAAAAAACACAACTAACAAGTACCTTAACTTGTAGTCACATAACAGTGCAGGTTTTTAGCAGATGCTGTTTCCATGGAGAAAGTGTATGTTTAAAGGGGATAAATTCCCTTCTCTGACTCCCCTTATTAACAAAAGGAGATGCTGCTGACCTCAGCATTGTCACTCAGCACGTGCACTCCAACTTGTTTTCTCAGGGATGGGGATGAATTCACATGGAGCCATCCCCTTTCTTTCACCACTGTGAAGAGTGATCCACTTTGGCAAGAGAGCTGCTTAAAGTTTAGTAGGTACAGTCTGGATCTATGGCTATGAAACAGAAAAGCTAAATAGGAGGGTGAGGTGGAATTCCACATCACCTTGACCTCATTAACACAAGACCCAGGTTAACACTAATCTATATCTTCTTATTTTGAGACCAGAACATACTCTTCACCACTAAGGCAATATACATTTATCTAGGTGGAGAGATGTCATATACATTTTGTTATTTTTCAGCCCCATTATTCTGCCCTTTACCAGGCCTTCCTTCAACTCCCCATAAAGGAGAGTGGTTTGGCCATGTTTCATATTTACATTCATCTCTTTTACTCTCAGGTGAAATCCCTCTCTGTACCGCTCCCTCCCTCTCGCCCCCCCTCCTCTTTTTTAACTGGGTCTAAAGCTTACCCATAGACTACCCCCTCCCACACTTTACACACACATAGAGCAGAGCAGGATTTCCATACATGTTGGTTGCTGACTCACTGGCTGGAACCCTCTGATCACTACGCTCTGGAGGTTTTTAATTTAGTCACAAAAACTCTTTTTTCCCCTGATGTTAAGTTTTGCCAATAGAAACAGAAATAGATAAGCAGGAAGGCAATTATTATGACAGTGCAAAGAATGATGCTGGAAACACCACCATTTAGAGCAGGGTGCAAAGTCACAGAAAATTCTGATTTTTAAGGCATTTAGGGAAGTTTCCTATTAGGTAATATCTTTGTACAAATGCTCCAGCAAACTCTTGACTTTGATCCTGCTTGATATAAAGCAAAGATGAAAAAGCATTGTTGTTTCTAAATAAAATATGGCTTGAGTTATTTTTACTTTCCATTATTTTAGAGAAAGGTGAAGCCAAGTTTGACTTCCCAGAGTGTGGATAGGTCATTAGAAAGAGTAGAAAGAGGGAGGTCAGAGGTACCTTCCCTGGTCATTCCCTTTCACTACTTTGCCTGCTATTACCTCAAATGCAAGCCCAGAGAGCATCATTATCATTTTTACAGAGGTAAAAAATCACTGTTTTTGACCAAGACATTGGCCCCTGTGAAATTTTCATTCCCTTCCCTTGCCCATTAGAGCTGGGTCTTTCTTCCAGCACCAACATTTTTAAAGCTGTCTTACTCTTTAGCTGCCCATCTCACTAAGCATGCTAGCCCGAAGGCTCAAAGGCCAAGTCAGATTACCTCTGTTGGGTTTGTTGAGGATATTTAGTGATAAAAATGCAATTTATTTTAATTTATTAAATTCTTTCCTCTGGACATATAAAGAAAAAACTAAAATGGCTATTAACACATGAAATCATGAAAATGTCAATATTTTTCCTAAATCCTGCCAAACAGAAACCCTAAATCCAAACAAACTGACTGAATCTTTTCTTGAAAAAAATAAATTATGAAAACAAGTTGTAACACCAGAGATTTGTGTCTGGTACCCCTCTTAGAACTACTTCCCTTCCTTTCCAGGGGCCCTGCTAGGCTCCCCCATTGCCCTCCCCTTTGGTTTTCTTTCAGTTTGGTCCTATCCTAATTGGATCCTCTGTGCAGCTTGATGATACTTTCCTCCCCCACCCCACTCCTCACCTCCCCCTGAATTCCTAAATATGCCACTGCCCAGTAGCCCCCACCCCCACCCAGACCTTCTGTCCTCATTGTTGGGTGCCTTGTCTAAGGGACACATGGGGGAACCCTCTTCATCTTCCATCTTTCTGCCACATAGATCAGTGTCTGCTCTCCTCTTCTCCTGTCCCAAAGGAAGAGGTGGCCTTTCCAAACCCATTCAAGTCAGCAAATTCACATCCTTTTATTTTTTTTGTCTGTGGACATTTATTTTATTTTCGCAACACAGAAGTCTATAAAATAGAAGCCTCTATCCTACTGCCCCACACTACTCCATCTTTTTGAAAAGAAAAAGTTTTTCCAGACTTTCCTATGCTTTTCCAAACACCAATCTATAACATAAGGCACACATAAATCTATAATATACATATACGTATGTACACTTAGAGAATTTGGGGCTTTTGTTTTATACAAACATATTTTGTTTCATCGAACAGTACAATGGACATGCCTCCAAAACAGTATACAGGGTCTATTCCATTTTTTCACATATTTCCTGTGCTCTCAAGCTTACTTCAGCTGTCTCCTCCATGGTTCAAGTTCTCCCATATTCAAAGAACCTTGTTATCTCTCAGCCATCTATCCTACCCCACTCCTACCCTTCACAGCCAGGAGTCCTTGAAAAGCCTCCCTCACTGACTGCACTTCTTTGCTTCCCACTTAGCTCCTGGTCCTTGCAGTTTGGTTTCTGCCCCTCCCCTACCCATATCTGCTCAAAAATCACTTTTTCTCCTCCTTAGGGCCTCCCCTACAGCCCTGGGCACTGCTGAGCATGCTCTCCTTATAATTCTCTTCCCCCTGTTCTGACTACTCCTAAGGACCTTACTGCTTCCGTGGTTCCCAACCAGGGGTGATTTTGCCCTCCAGTGGACACGTTATAGTATCTGGAGACATTTTCAGTTGTCACAGTGGAAGAGTAGGTGCTACTGCCATCTAGTGTGTAGAGGCTAGGGATTCTGTCAAACATCCTAAATGCACAGGATGGTCCCCTGAAACACGTAAGTATCCAGCCCCAAGTATCAAGAGTACTGAGGTTGTAAAACCCTGCCCTAGAGGAATTTAAGCAAGTCCAAGGATATTTCTGACAAGTATAGGCCCTTTAATAAACACCTAGGGATCTGGCCCCAAATCTTTAAAATAATTATGTGTATCTGTTCCCAAATGAAACACCTCAAAGTCACGTCCAGATGCTGCAGAGATGTCCCAAGCCCATGACAGCTTCAGTTTCTAGGTCCACACTCCCCAGGTAATGTCCAAGTCTCCTCCAGTTGTCTCAGTCTGGTCCAGGTGTGAAACCTCACCATCTTTCCATCTGTGGGCTAAACCAAACATTTAGCCTCCCTCAACACCACTCACAGTCATGAGAAAGGAGACACAGACCATCCTCTCCCCTTCCCATTTCCCAATTTATCCCCTCCCCCTAGAAATTGATTTCCCTTTGGGATATGTTCTATTCTACATTTCTGAATTCACTGAGGAATCGGTTTGTAGCCAGATTCCCCTCCCACTATTACTCTGGTGGTGGGTTGGGAGAGAGAATCCCTCAGGATGGCACCACGCTGGTCCGTGGTCTAAACCAGTGAACACTCTGGGCACTATCAGTTGCTGACTCGACCTCTTAGGCAGTGGCAGGAGTTTCCAGTTCTGCCACTGGGGATTGGGGAGGGTTCTTCTGTTGTGGAGCTAGACAGCCATAGCAGTCCTTGTCTGCAACTGGTGTTGGTGTCCCCTGTTTGTAGACCTAAAGGATTTTCTTAGGGATGGCAAATCTCTGCTGTGTTGTAAGCCCAGGGTTAACTATAGGCCTGTTTTGATCGTTTCTCACAATATAACTTGATCAGAACATGAAAAAGCTTCCCGTCCAGTTCATTCCTGGAGACTCTTGGGATGCAGGAATCCTCACTATACCCATAACTCTCTGATACTCCTCCCCAGCCAGTTCCGACATTTTCTTTGACAGTCCATGGTTTGCAACTGCTCTTCTGGTGCCAATTTCTGACTTGGAAATAATCTGGTTGCCCAGAACAGGAGCCCACTCAAGTTAGCTTAAAGAAAAGGGGATCTGTGTAGAGTGTATTTTCATGCAGCACAATCGCAGGAAGTGGAAAAGTGGTCATGCCACCACTCTCTCCATCTCTGAGGTTGCAGGATCAACTCCTGTACTGTTTCTCTGCGCTTGTCTGCTCCCTGGGGCCTCATTCCGACATCCTCTAAAAGACACCTGGCTTCTATAAAGCACACAGTTCTGCTCCCTGACAGCCAGGACCAGGCCTGACTGTGGCCTCAGTATTCATGTCTCTGACCAGGGCCCCAACTCCAAATGACCCATTATTTCCTTACCCAACACCACCCTGACTATGGAATCTGCTTCTCTGTTCAGACTCTCTAGTGTGAGAAAACTGTTTGGCTCAGTTATGGGTCAGATGTCCACTCCTGCTCCAATCATATACAGCCTAGGTGGGGAGAGGGGTGGGTTGCCATATACATGGCTGCTCGGGTCCACCAGATACTAGGGTTGGGGAGGGAGACACATACTAAGAAGCTGTGGTGCTTCTGGGGTGTGGAATGCTAATGCTCTGGAACACAAAAGGGGTCATCATAATAAGTTTCTGTCTCTCTATATTTTACCCTCCAACTACCCAATCTACACCCTCCCTAGCCACCACCCCATACCCCACCTCCCAGCCTACTTTTCCACCTTTCTCGCAACCCCCTTTCCCCCCACTCTTCCCCAACCCTTCCCTACCTCTCCCCCTCCCTCTGCCCACCAGAGGTGTAATTTTTCTGCTCCTCAGCTCCAGGAAGGTGGACAGGGCCTCTACCCAGCTTCTTGGTGGCCTCTGCCCCTTCTGCATCCTTTTGACTTCTTCCTCTTCCTGTGGCACCAGCAGCAGAAGTAGCAGCAGCCCCTGCCTCCTCCTCCTCTTCATGTGCTACTTCTGTTCTAGCCCCACTGCCAGTGGCCAGGCCTGGCTCCTCTGGGACCTGGGTCCGCTTCCGCGGAAACTCCAGTTCCTGGAGAGAAGTGGGCAGGATTAAGACCTATTCTGGGGGCAGTGAGGGTTTGGGGCAGGGAAATGGGGCCAGGAGATGGGGCAGGGACCAATCAAGGTAATCTTACAGCCCGGAGGATCCTCCACCTCAGGAGGTCGCTTTCCTTTCGCATCTCTGCCATGTTTGCTTGTGTCTGTCGCAGCTGAAAGACTGACTCCTTGCGTTCCATCTCCTGCTGTGCTGTGAGCTCCTTTAGGTGTGAGGCCAAGGCCTCTGCAGCGGACTTATGCAGTTTGGTGTAGTCCTGCAGCCAGTGCACCCTGCGCCCATGTAACTGGCTCTGCCTGCAGGCAAAGCGCATGCCCAGGGCCAGGCTGCTCCAGGCACAGGCGTCTTTGGCCTTGCTGGACACTGCGCTGTCCTCCAGGATGTCCCTGAGCTTGTTCTCCACCTCCTCCCAGGACAGGGATATATTCTCAAGATAGAACTCAGGGCCTTTCGTGTGCCCGGCCATCTTCTCATTGATGAAGGCCACCACATTGTTGTGCTGGAACCCAGCACTGGGGTCCTCCGGATTCAAGGCCATAATGGCTGAGGGCCTTAGGGGCTTGGCTGGTTCTGTGGGATGAATCAACCAGTTTCTCTTTCCTCTCCCCTTTAGCCCCTCCCCACTCAGTCTCTTCCCATCCAATCGGCCTGCCCCGCCCTGCCCCACCCCTCCTCACCCTCCTCAGACCCTCATAAAGACCCCCTCAACGACTGGCTTGCCCCGCCATAGTACACGTCGGCCTCGCTTCTCTAGGTGGCGTTAGAGAAGAAGCAGACCTACCTTTCTCGCTTACCGTACCAAAAGAGAAAGCGCACCTCTCTCCTTCTAGGGGCTCCGAGGAAAGGAAATCGCAAGGCCAACCCTCGAGGCTTTTACCCTGGGACTGTTCCAACTTCCAGAGACAATGGGGGTGGGAGGGAATGTGTGAGGAAGGTTCCTCCTAAACTCCGGGACATAAAGAGAACCCGCTATATTGTTGAAAGTTGTTGAAGGCAGGAAACAACAGGAGTGGTCAGAAAAAACAGAACTTAGAATATAATCAAGAACAAAAATTTCATCCCCCACTCTCCACCCCCACCATAATGGTTTGTTCCACATCAAGGGCCCCGACCCTCCCCGAGGTGGAATGTTCTAGAACAGGAAAAAGCCCCCCCCCCCCCCCGGGCGGGAAAATTCTGTATCTCCTATTTCAGATGCTCCTGAACTGGAATATGAAGGTCAGCAAATTTTTTCTGTAAAGGGCCAGGTAGTAATCATTTGAGGCTTTGTAGGCAAAAGATCTCTGTCCCAACTACTTGTAGCCTAAAAGCAGTCATAAAAAATACTTGAAGAAATAAGCATGGCTATATTCCAGTAAAACTTTATGTATAAAAATAGGCAGCTGGGAGGATTTGGCCTGTAGTTTGCCAACTCCGGGTCTAGACTCATATTTCCTGCATATCCCAAAGATATCCAAAATCCAAATGTTCACCCTGTCCACCTAGAGATGATTCTCCTCCTATATTCCTATGTTCAGTATGGAAACCTCAAAATCGTCAAAACCACTTGCCTTTAATAACATAGCAAATTGGTCCCCAAGTCTTGTTGCTACTACCTCAGAAACTTCTATTGACATCCATTCCCATTTAGAGAATGCCCGCATTGCCTCCTAAATAATCTCCCTAACTTTAATCTCTTTCTAACTCCTAATCTTTCCTAGTATCGTGCTACTTTGAAGCTTAAAAATATTTGATGGCTTCCTGGGACACACTCCTTGGCCTAATATTAGAATCTCACTTTAATCTACCTTTCTAATTTAACTCTCTTCATTCTCTTTTCTATGCCATCATTTATGCACTGAAGGGACTGGCCATGCAGAGATACATTCATTTTGGGTTTTAATTTATTTTTTTATTTGAAAAAATCAGAAATTCATTATTATATGGGAATTATGTTTTGTTCTATGAACTACATTGAAATAGATGACATTTCTTCTCTAAGGGTCTTGTGTCAGAGAGAAAAAAATAATGTATCAGGCATCAAAATATTACTTAAGAAGGTGGTTAAATCCCAGAGTTTTAAATCCCACTGTTTTAGCTTTTTATTTTTTTATTTTATTTTATTTTTTGAGACTAATAAACTTTATTAAGTAAAGGTCCTCAGAGAGTTACTTCCAAAGTTTGACATTTGGATGATTTCTGTTTCTGGCACATACAGAAAAGAGGCTCAATTTATCCTCCCAAGTGGGGGAAAAATAAATAAAAGAAAATATTTAACCAACAGTTCAGAGGACATTGGACATCAGAGAGTGAATGACAATGGTCTCTGAGAAATGGGAAACAATTTGAGCTCTACCGTTCTCTCAGCTTAGTGCCTACTGATAGTTTCCATGGAATGACACAGGACTGTGGAACACAGGAGATTACATAGGTTGAAGAGATGGATATTATTGAGTCCAGAGAAACCACAGCAACAAGAATTTACAGACAAAGTAACCAAGAGCAGAGAACTGTAGAGAGCAAGAATTCCACAGGAATGCATGACCAATAATATAGAGAATAATGAACAAACTAATCCACTTTCAATATCCCTCTTCAAATATCTCTCTTTTTAAAATGTTATCTTTTTTTTTTCCATTTCAGTTTGTGTATTTTAAATTATTAGTCTTAATTGGAAAGGGTTCATGTTTTGGCTTGTTCAACAGTGACTTCTGTAGAAAGATCATTCAGAAGATAATGTAGAAATTGGAATGGCAAGGAGCGAGCAGAGATACTGGAGTCAGGGAGACCCATGGGGGATGTCACAGTAATTCAATATGTAAACTAAGGCAGTGGATGTCAGAATGGAGAGAAGAGTGTAGAGAGCTCTTTGGTTGATAGAATTCATAGGAATGTTAGGGACAGGGATGAGAAAATTAGGGTAATTCCCAGATTTCTGATACAGGGAACTAAATAGATAGTGATGCTGTAGACTTAAATGGGGAATGAAAGAGAAGCTGTTTGGGAGGGAGTTCACCTGTACACATATTGATATTGAGATAGCTGTGGGGCATCCTAATAGAGATACCCTACAGGCAGTTAGATATGAGTCTAGTACTTAGGAAAGACATCAGGGCTGGAGATACAGTATCGAAAAATGGAAGTTGGGTTCCAAGTAGTGGTTGAAATAATTGAGGGGGAAGATACAGAGCAAGAACAGGGTGCTGAGGACAGTTCTCTTCTTACCACTCTCCACTCTCAGTGATGGTTTTATAGCAGCTGACCTGCTTACTCCTTGGCCACCTCTGCTTCTGGCCTCAGAACATTTTTTTTTACCCTTTTTTATTCTTTCCATAACACTGTAAACATGGACTTCAGCTTGTGATCACTTATATCTGTATGCTACCATTCTTCCATTTCTGCTTATAAATACTTTTGGAAGATTAAAATAAGTCATTTTTTTAAGTTTTTACTTAAATTCCAGTTAGTGAACATACAGTGTAATATTAGTTTCAGGTGTACAATATAGTGATTCAACACTTCCATACATTACCCAGTGCTCATCACAACTGCACTCCTTAATCTCCATCACCTATTTCACCTGTCCCCCAAACTGCCTCTCCTCTGGTAACCATCAGTTTGTTCTCTATAGTTAAGAGTCTATTTCTTGGTTTGTCTCTCTCTCTTCCCCACCCCATGACTGTTTGTTTTGTTTCTTAAATTTCACATATGAGTGAAATTATATGGTATTTGTCTTTCTCTGACTGACTTACTTCGCTTAGCTCATACTTTCTAGCTCTATCCATGGTGCTGCAAATGGCAAGATTTCATTCTTTTTTATGGCTGAGTAATATTTGAGTGTGTGTGTGTGTGTGTGTGTGTATCACATTATTTATCCATTCATCAGTCTGTGGACATTTGGGTTATTTCCATAATTTGGCTATTGTAGATAATGCTGCTATAAACATCAGGGTGCTTGTATCCCTTTGAATTAGTATTTTTGAATTCTATGGGTAAATAACTAGTAGTACAATTGCTAGAGCATAGGGTAGTTCTATTTTTAAATATAAGTAGTTCTATTTAGGTAGTTCTATTATAAATTTAAATAGAGGAGGAACCTCCATACTGTTTTCCAGACTGGCTGCACCAATTTGCATTCCCACCAGTAGTGCTAGAGGGTTCCTTTTTCTCCACATCCTTTTGTTTCTTGTGTTGTTGGTTTCAGCCATTCTGACAGGTGTGAGATGGTATCTCATTGTAGTTTTGATTTGCAGTTCCCTGATGATCAGTGATGTCTACTGCTCATTTTTTAAATTGGATTACTCATTTTTTGGGTGTTGAGTTTGATAAGTTCTTTATAGAATTTGGATACTAACCCTTTCTCAGATATGTCATTCGCAAATATCTTCTCCCATTCCAAATGTTGTCTTTTAGTTTTGTTGGTTGTTTCCTTTGCTGTGCAGAAGCTTTTATTTTGATGCAGCCTCAATAGTTCAATTTTTGCTTTTGTCTCCCTTGCCTCAGGAGACATATGTAGAAAGAAATTGGTATGGCCAATGTCAAAGTGGTTATTGCCTGTGTTCTACTCTAGGATTTTAATGGTTTCCTGTTTCACATTTAGTCTTTAATCCTTTTTTAATTTATTTTTACATCTGGTGTAAGAAAGTGGTCCAGTTTCATTCTTTTGCATGTTTCTGTACAGTTTTCCCAACACCATTTGTGGAAGAGACTCTCTTTTTCCAACTGAATGTTTTTTACTGCTTTGTTGAAGATTAATTGACCATATAGTTGTGGGTTCATTTCTGGGTTTTCTATTCTGTTCTATTGATCTATGTGTATATTTTGTGCCAGTACCATACTGTTTTCATCAATACAGCTTTGTAACATAACTCGAAGACTGGGATTGCAATCCTCCAGCTTTGCTTTTCTTTTTCAAGGTCGCCTTGGCTATTCAGGGTCTTCTGTGGTTCCATGCAAATTTTAGGATTGTTCTAGCTCTGTGAAAAGTGCTGATGGTATTTTGACAGTGATTGTAGATTGCTTTGGGTAGTATAGACGTTTTAACAATGTTCGTTCTCCAATCCATGTGCATGGAATGTCTTTCCATTTCATTGTTATCTCCAATTTCTTTCATCAGCGTTTTATAGTTTTTAGAGTACCAGTCTTTCACCTCTTTGGTTAAGTTTATTCTTAGGTATCTTGTGGTTTTTGGTGCAATTGTAAATAGGATTGATTCCTTAATTTCTCTTTCTGCTGCTTCATTATTGGTCTATAGAGGTGCAACCAATTTCTGTATGTTGATTTTATATCCTGTAACTTTACTGAATTGCATCAGTTCTAGCAATTTTTTGTCAGAGTCTTTCAGGTTTTCATATAGAGTATCATGCCATCTGCAAATGGTGAAAGTTTGACTTCTTCCTTGCTGATATGGGTGTGTTTTATTTCTTTTTGTTGTCTGACCACTGTGACTAGGACTTGCAGTACTATGTTAAATAACAGTGGTGAGAGTGGACATTCCTGTCCTGTGCCTGACCTTAGTGGAAAAGCTCTCAGTTTTTTTTTTTTTTCCCATTGAGGATA